CAGCCAAGAGGCTGACCACTATACATGTAGGGCTCCTTCCATAGCTGCACACAATGACCTCACAGGTCAGATCCCGAGTGTTTTCAGCTCCCGGCAGTCTCCCTTGTTCCCCCCTTTAGTCAGACCCACCTCCTCCAAGGACACACATGTCTGCCTTCTGTGTCTGATTTTGAACTTACGTATGTAGACTCATACAGCTTGTGTTCCTTTGTGCCCAGCTTCTTTGGGGAACATTATGTTTGTGAAATTCAAACATGTTAGCACTTCATTCTTTCCATGGTGGGGAGGCATTTCAGTGCATGAAGAGTAATGATGGTCCAAATAATAAATGAATCTCCACTTCTTAGAGAAAAGGACTTGCCTACATCTAGAATATAATTTTGCCCCATTTATATTTGGTTCTGTAATATTTTTCCTCTTTGAAACTGGCCTATTGAAAGAGAAAGAACCCACGGTCCTTCATCTCCTAGAAATGGGATTTTAAAAAAATCTAACTCAATACCGTTGAGCATGTTTTCAGGGGTGGCAAATTGCGTGGGAGGAGATTTCCCATCCTTCTCCCTTGGAGCAGCTGGTGGATTAGAGCCACCTGTTGACAGGAGGACTCCCTACTCACTAGACCGACCACACCAAGTACACACACAACTGTATCAACTCAACTTAGTGTCTTTCCATCTTACTGGGCAGGAAACTGATCTTTTAGATTTTTTATTTTATGTAGGGCGATCCTGCATGTGAGTTTGGATTCCAGGAGCGCTTGGAATTGAGGAAGGGGGTTGGGTCCCTGAGCAGAAGCCTTCCGCACCTGATGTCCATTTCATGTCTCTCTATATCTTTCTGCTCCTGATGTCTGTTTCATGTCTCTCCATTTCTCCCTGAACCTCTTGTTTCATGTCTCCCCTTCTCTCCTTATGCGTGATCTATTTCATGCCTCCTCATCTCTCTCTGCACCTGATGCCTCTTTTATGTCTCCCATCTTTTCCTAAAGCTCATGTCTCCCCATCTCTCTCTGCACCTGATGTGTGTTTCACGTCTCCCTATCTCTCCTTGTACCTGATGTCTGTTTCACGTCCCCCCATCTCTCCTTGTACCTGATTTGTTTCACGTCCCCTATCTCTCTCTCCACCTGATGTCTGTTTCACGTCCCCCTATCTCTCCCTGCACCTGATGTCTGTTTCACGTCTCCCTATCTCTCCTTGTACCTGATGTCTGTTTCACGTGCCCCCATCTCTCCCTGTACCTGATGTCTGTCTGTTTCACGTCCCCCCCATCTCTCCCTGCACCTGATGTCTGTTTCACGTGCCCCCATCTCTCCCTGTACCTGATTTTTGTTTCACGTCCCCCATCTCTCCTTGTACCTGATGTTTGTTTCTCATCTCCCCATCTCTCCCTGCACCGGATGACAACAGTAAGATGAGTCAGAGGATGGCAAAGGACGGCCCCAGGCTCTCCAAGAACCAGAAGTTCTCCGAGCATTTCAGCATCCACTGCTGCCCGCCCTTCACCTTCCTCAACTCCAAGCGCGAGATTGTGGATCGCAAGTACAGCATCTGCAAGAGC